ACCAGGGAAATAATGTCTAGGAAGTAATGAATATAGCTCTAAGGAGAGGTCTAGATTATAAACTTGGGTCTGGAAGCTATAAAAATATGCATGACAATTAAAAATTGTCTAGATTATAAACTTGGGTCTGGAAGTTATAAAAATATGCATGGCAATTAAAAATAATACAGCAGTGGAGGGGAGGGGATGAGAGTGGAGTGGAAGGAAAATAGGGGATATCAGTAATACTTTAAACAATAAAGGAAAAAATTTAAAAAGGTAAAGAAACAATTGAAAACTTCCAAAAAAATGTATGTAAAATGGGGAAAGAATGCATTAGACATTCCTTGGTGAAACTGAAAAATTTAAGTTACCAGCAAAGAGAGATATAGAGAAGGCAAATTGTTTAATTCTTCCATGATTAAGGCATTTTTACAGAGTTTAAAAATAACTGACCAATAAAGCAAATAAATAATTCACGTTCAGAAAAATAAGAGGAATTGCATATATTATCAATTATGGAGGGAACTGATGGATCCTGGAATATCTGTTAGACAGTGGAGATGGGATATAACCAGTAAGGAAATGATTGGAAACATCAAGGATCTGGAGTTCATAGAAATTCCCATGTCTAGATCTGACCTCTCTCCCACAATAGCATTTGGTCATTGATTTAATCAGCTGGGAGTATATTCAAAGCAACAGAATATGCTTTGATCTAAAAGACAGGTGATCTAAAAGAGAAACAAATGTTTTTATAGATAACAAACAGGCTTACTTCTTTTGTATAAAATCAACATTAAACATAGGACACTAAATAATTAGACCTCACATGCATTTGTGCACACACACACACACACACACACACACACGAACAGAGTGAAGAATTTCTAGAATTTAACTTTAATAAACTCCAGAAACAACAACAGCATTGACTTAAAGTGCAAGATCTAAAAACAAGTCATTGAGATTAATGTCAGCATGTTTTCCTTTATCCCAAAAGCCAAACTCTAAGGAAGGGAAAAATGCAGTGCAATGATTTTGTTAAGTGAGTTCAAATTATATTTAACTGAGGTTGTACTATTGATAAAGCTAAAAATGGCAGTATGAGCTCTTGATAACTATTTGTCACAGTTATCTTCTTTTTTACTTTGCCAAAGACATAGACCCTGTTGTCCTGAAAACAGAAGAAAAAGACATAGTCTTTCCTTTTGATTTGCTCATAACAACAGGGAGTAATGGCACTAATTGTGGTCAAGTAGAAACTCAACAACTATTTGACCAGGGATTGCTGTGAAAGTCACTGTTCCAGATGCTTTAAATTTATCAGTAATTTACTGCAACACTCTGAGGATGGTGAGGTAGGCAGGTACCTAAAAGCGATAATGCTATACACTGTGAGGCCCCTAGGGACTAAAGAACTTGTTTTAGAGGAAGGGATGTGTGGTGGATGGACATGGCCTTGAGTTCTCATAGTCTGTCTGCCCCAGTACATTTGCAGTTTTGGACTTCCACTGCAACATTCTTCTATTTAGTTTTTGCATTAATGAATACCTTGCATATTTTTAAATGCATGTTAATGATGTGTGTAAAACCCCTTGTTGGTACTCAACTCTCACTATCAAGTTTTATTATTAGGCGAGGGGATTGCCAGAACACTCATAAATATTTCATTAAGAAATGGCAACAAAAAAAAAGTTACATGAGAAAGAAGGACTTTAGGATTTAAACAACTGAACATTGTAACTAAGACAGGGATTGACCACCTGTAAGGACCAATAGTAAATAATTAGACTCTGCAGGCCACACAGATGATGGCAATTAATTTAAAGAGCCCAGTTTTGTATTATGGGGGAGACTGTGCCAAACAAGCTCTTCTCTCTTCCATTGTCTCTGGCATAGATGGCACTTGACAAGTGACAGAGCTGCTTTTAGAATCTGAGGTGTTTTGTGGGGATCACCTTTTTGGGTCTATGTGACTCACATCTGATTCTAGGTTCTTATTACTCCTGCGTATTGCTTAGAGTTGTGGACAGCAGCATGGGCAGTGTTTTAGTTAAATCTCCAATTATATATAGTTTCCAGTGATTTGTCGATTCAAATATTGAATAGGACCTGTTTAAACATTACCTATGTCTCCTTCCCTTTCCTCTTCCTTTGTCTTTCCTCAATTGTCATTTTAACAATTTTCCCCAAGTATAACCCTGCTCATTAAATCTTCAACATTATGAAATGCATTGCTTATATAGAAATCAATAAGAAAAAAGAATCAGGAGTTAACGTTTTATTGCATAAGATTTTTCTTCAATTAGTTTAACAGTCCTATCCATCACACCACACCCCTCTTTGAAAAATTAGCTGTCTGGCTGATTCTGATTTGCTCTGAAGATCATTTTGTGCAGCAATTCCTTTGTCTGTAATTTTGATTCATAGCCCTTCATATGAATTCTTTTATTGCTCTATTTTCATAATAGCTTTTAGGCAGCCAATCCCCAAGCAGGATGCTGTGTTTCTTGATGATTTAGTGGCATCCAGATGTCAGTACCTCATGTTGTTGCCTTTTAGACACATTTTGAAAAACACAAGTTGCTTTAAAATAATTGCATTCATTTGTGCAGTAAGTTTGAAATTATTCTGTCATGAAGTCAGTCAAACTTTGGAACACAGAAATACTTGGCATGTCTTTTGGTAAGCCTGCACGACTATCTTAAAAGTTGTGGTGGTTTTCAGTTATTTTAAAAGGGGGTGGTCAACAGGATTTTTGAGAAACACAAGCTGTTATACACAGACACAGTGTGTGAAAGTAAGAGGTCTCTCCTATAATTTGTCAGTTTCATTGGTGAGTGTAAGAACAAATGGAATAGGCTAGTAGCCAAGCTATTTCTATTATGTTAAGAGTTTCTAAGTAAAGTTATTTACTAGTAGGTAAATAAGAATGCTTTATTTTATTCTTAGCAATACCCAAATTAAATATCAGATTCCTTGTGTAGACCCAAGAAAACTTGAATGACAAGGTCAGGTTTCCTGCAGGATTCGCATCAAATTACCTAGTGCCTTTTAAACACATCTGCTTGTGTCTCATTCTGAATCTGCTGAATCAAATCTTAGAATGGGAGGGAATATGTTAGAAAGTTCCCCTGAGTGGTCTTGATTCTCACCTTTGGTTGAGAACCATTAGGCTCAAAGTGCTTTTAGATAATAGACAAAAAGGTAGCCTTGCAGACATGTCAAGGACTTTGTTGATAAGGTGTTGTGTAAGGCAGTGGTCAGAAAGATTAGCTACCGCTACCATTTTTTTATGAAACCTCAGATAAGAATTAAGAATTTTCTCAACAGTGATTCTATGAAGTTATCTGTGGTCAAGAAAAACCATCTGCCTCTTTCTTCCCTCACTTCCCATTCAGCCATCAGGGTTCTCTGGGACAAAAGTATAGTTCAGTTTTATGGCTCTCATGGCCTGAATGCCAGTATGCCAATGTTTTTTGTTTTGTTTTTTTTCTAATTAAAGAATTTATTGAGCCCTTTCTATGCACCATTTTCATTATAGGCACTGAAAATGCTAGTAATGAGCAAAAAAGTCTGGAGCTTACATTCTACTGGATGAGACATTAAGCAAATAAATATTTCAGCAAGTGCTTACTGGTCTAAGTATCATAAACATATTCTGAGTATTAATTTACATATGTCTCTTGTGTATTAATCAGAGATGAGCCATGGAATCTCTTTAGGTGTTGTTTATGTTCAAACACACACAATGTATAAATTTACATATTATATATACCTGGGTATATGTGTGCATATGTGGTATGTTTTATATATGTAGCATATGCCCTGTATATTGTATATTTATACACACATAGTGCATGTGCATGTTGTATTTATATAACTGCATTGTTTAATTTATTTTAATCAGTGTCACATCCTTATGGGGTGAGGTGTAATACCTATGCACCTATATGTGTGCACACAATCATTCTCAGAGATAAACTCAATTAGGATTACATGTCAACATTACATTTTAGCCCATTTTTCTTAGGGTTCTTGTTGTTAAATACTGACAAGTAAATTATGCTTTATATTTGATAATATTTCTTTTTGAAATTTTTATTTTACATTATTAAATGTAAAGAATATTTTGGAACAGTTTTCAGTGCTGAAATTGAGATTAAAAATCATGAGACACCATGAGCCTCTATCCCTTGAAGAAAGAGCAGCCTGTTATTGTTGTAGAAATATCACCATATTGAGAATAGAATCCTGTTTTCTTTGCACCTGGTGCCTCACTAATACATTTAATTCCCCTCACATGTTTTTTAGCTACCATCTGGTTTGACTAGGGTCACTATTTTTTGAGGATCGTGTTGGCATGGTAATCCTCTCGAAAAGTTACAGACTAGAGATCCTGGAGGATAACTGATAGCCATCTAATATAAAGAGAGAGAGTATGTATTGCATGTGGATGGAAAATGTTGGAAGGGGACTCTGGGTGCTTCCTTGAGAAGAATCCCTGTGTTGTCCTGCTGCACACCACCTGCCCCTTCTGCTGCTCTCTACCTGGAGCACCTGAACCATCAAAATTATAACTAAGTCCCTGAAATCAATGAAATTGTCCTTTTCAATGAGAAATTCAGTTGAAAGTTATATTTCTCTTTCCTTTCAATGTGTTCCCCCCACTCCCCAGGATACTGCAGTTAAATGACATGGTTGAAAAAATGTTACATTGATGTCCCTATTGGAAAAGATTTTAAAATCTTATCTGTTGTCTTTCAAATAATACTCCAAAGTCCTGCATTTCCCCATGCAGTGTTTGTCAGCAGAGTGGAAAGAAGCCCTTACAGCTGTCTGTGAGCCAGGACAGCAGTAAGGATCCTGATTGGCATTATTATCTATTACTGTTGAATGCTGATGGTGCCTTTTTGTGGCTGAGTCCTTCCCATGCTTATTGACATTCATAAATGAAAACGCTCTGCTTTACTGACTACCTAATTGGCAATTTAATTTTCCTAATAACTTCCTCACAGGACCTGGATTTTGAAGCCAAAACAAGTTACACACTACGGATAGAAGCTGCAAACAAAGATGCCGACCCTCGCTTTCTGAGCTTGGGGCCCTTCAGTGATACGACAACCGTGAAGATAATTGTGGAAGATGTGGACGAGCCCCCCGTGTTTTCCTCCCCCTTGTACCCCATGGAAGTGTCGGAAGCTACCCAAGTTGGGAATATCATTGGCACCGTCGCAGCTCATGACCCAGATTCGTCTAACAGCCCTGTGAGGTAACAGCTCCATGCTGTCTATGTCTACAATTTCACAACAATGCACTTTATTCACAGCTCACATGTCTACGTTAGGATGCTTTTGGTTCGTAGCAAATAAAAACCAATTTTGTCTATGTATTGAGCCATAACAGCAGACGTGAAACAGAATCAGAACAACTCAACATTTTGCTAATTCAGAATGTGCCACCTGATCTTCCAAAGCCATTATCACGTAGCAGTATTCTGAGGCATCCGTTATTATCCACAAGCCATAGCTGATGAGCCCCTACATCCAATTATCCTCAGCTCTTTCAAAGCAAACTGTATTCAAAGGTGAAGTGATGCATGTCCTAGTTGTATACATGCATATATTAGAATACTAATTTTATAGATAATTGAAACTAGGGATGGAGTTTTTAAAACTTTTTTTCCCATATTGGTATATTTGGTTGGTATATATTCATTTATATTATTATTTTCACTTATAAACAATAATATAATACCTAATATATGCATTAGGACTATTTTTTAATGTCCTTTCAGTCATCTTGTACAGAGACAAGAGACATTATTATAACCAACTAACCTCTTCGGACTCACAGAATTTATTCTTAAAGTATTTCAAAATGTTATAGTATTCTATTTCATGCTTTTTGCCTATAATTTACAATCTGAAGTCTACATGTATGTTTTTGTGTATACATGTGTTTGTGTGTGTGCACATATGATAAATTATGTCTTTTATATTACACACCTTAACTTGGGATCATATGTATGACTTTTCATTGTGACACTATGGATTTGATTATACAGTCTGCAAAGTATAAAAATCAATGAATGTTTTATATTCAGATACTAGGGGCCCAGTGCATGAATTCTTGCATCTTGAAAGGAACTGTGAGCTGTGAGGCTGTGGTAGGCACAGGGGCAGATCTTGGCCCATCCTCTCCTCCCCCGCCTGGCTCCTCTCACTGTGGCCCCCCTTGTTCCCTGTCTGCTAGCAGCCCTGCTTCCACCACCACTGCTCCTATATGTTGACAGCTCCAGCCTTGCTCAGACCCGCTGATAGCATGGAGTGATTGGGGCCGGCCCCAGCAGCAGGTGCCGGCAGGGCCAGTACCATCAGCAGGTGTGAGTGGCTGCTGCTGCCCTGATTACCCCCTCAGGAGCAGGGGGAGGTGGAGAAGCCCTCAGGAGTGATTAGGGCCAGCAGCCGCTGCTTGCACCTGCTAATGGTGCTGAGTGATTGGGACCAGTGCCAGGCACTGGCAGTGAGTGAGAGTGGGGCTGGCATTGGCAGTGGGTGTGAGCAGGGCCAGAACTGGCAACAATGCCGAGTGCTGGGCAGAACTGCAACATGCAGGAGCAAAGAATTTTCAGTAACCACCAGAGGCTCTCCCCAAAGATAGCGACTCATGTCCTACTTTAGTCTGGTGCCCCTACTCACCTGCTCCACCATCCCACCACAGCCAATGCCCGCCATGTTCTGCACACACACCCTGGTGGTCAGCGCAAGTCATAGCAACTGGTTGTTTGGTTGTTCCACTTGTTCTGCCATTTGGTCTTTTTGCTTATTAGCCTTTTATTATAGAGAATGTTCAGCTTATGACCACAGCCTTTTAGATTTAACCCATATGTGAGAATTCTAAGTGCTTTTGAGTTAAATTCTGAGCTAAGCCTGGACATTGACTACAAAGTGTGATGAAAAATATCTGAAATGTAGGCACTGATTCTTAGGAAAAGCTCATAATTTCTATCTCCCTTAAAGTATAAGCATACATATATCTATCTATCTATCTATCTATCTATCTATCTATCTATCTTCTCTTTTCCTTCTCTTTTTGTCAAATATTTTAATGTTTAGCCTAGTTGAGAATTGGCATAAAATAATTGTTATTCCAAAACTGAACTCATAGTCATTGTTTTCCTGTCTATATAAGAAATTCAGACCGTTGAGAATGCTATATTATTTTAAATGCAGTGCTTATAAACCGTTTTAAGAATATAATTTGTTCATTATAATATTAATGAATCACAAATATACCAGATAGATCAGCCTTCCCCTCTTCTCTGTTAGAGCCCAGCCTTCTTTGTCAGAGCAGCTCTCTGGCTTAAGCTCAGCTACATCTGCCGAGTCTTCTTACCTTGCACAGACTTGAATTTGGGTTTTATTATATCATTGCATCTCTTCGTGACACACTTTCCCTCCCGAACAGCAACCACAGCACAGCTGTAGGCATAGATCAGCTACTCAAGACAGTTTGACTTTTGTTTAAGTGATTTCATTTCATGGGGAGAAATACCTAATGCTTGCATGAAGTTGGGGATGTGGGGGGAAAAAAGACACACTAATAAATATTATAATTCAGTACTTGAATGAGAAGATTTAAATAAATTTTGATTTTTTATTTATTGCATTGGTATTTTAATATTGTTTGTTTTTTTTCTCGTGTCTTTAGTGTCATTCCTGATAAAGCATTTCAGAGTAAATAGTACACCTTGTATAATATCTTATTTATAAAAAATATAGTGTCATATAATAATTTGGGGATGAAGAAGGAAGAGTAGGCCAAGTGGCTCGCAACCTGAGTTAAGAGATGAAGTGAGTCTGGAAGCATAGAGATAGATATAAGGGACAAGGCCTGAACTCTGATGATTTGGGACATAAAAATCTCGGTGGGCTTAATTAATGAAAGAGAAGTGTATTTCTACGTCATATAAATTTTCTTGAATCTAGTGAAGGTGACCTAAAAGTTCAGGTTAGAACTATCCACTTAGGATTTTCTAATCCCTGAGTCTCACAAATCGCGAGATACAGACTTCGTTCAGAGTGAACTTAAATGTGATTTTTCATGTAACTACTTATTTTGCATTTGTAAAATTGATTTATTGGCTTACATTTAACAATTAGATTATTGAGACATTTATTTGTATAAACTCAGCAAAGTTATTGGTAGCTGATATATATATATATTTTTTTTTTTGGATTTGTCTCCTGGATTTGTCCTTCCCTGTCTATTTATGACATCCTTCAAGCTGGTCTCATTTTGTAGTTTGGTGAGTAATGTGTATCCCCATGCATCCTCTAAAAGACTGGTCTTCTTCCCAGCAGTGCTATTTGCAGAGTGACCGAGGAAATGCCACTCAGCCTGCTGAGTTTCCATATGACCCGGAAGAAAGGAAAAACAACTCTTCTTCCGCTTTATCCCAGGTTTTTTAGGATTAAGTAACTAATGCTTTTATTTATTTTCATTTATTTTTATATTCTTTTTAAATTTTTTTTCCAGTTGATGTCAGAGAGGAAAGGAGAAAATGAGACAGATAGAAACATCAATGAGGAGAATCATTGATTGGCTGCCTTCTACACACCCCAACTGGGATCAAGCCCACAACAAAGGCATGTGCCCTGATTGGGAATCAAACTGTGACCTCTTGGTTCATAGGTCAATGCTCAACTATGAGCTATGCAGGCTGGGCAGTAACTGATGCTTTTAAACTGTGAATCATGACTTATGTATGTATAGGAAATAGTATCATTATGTGTTGCTATTATTATACCTTATTGTGTTTTCATGCCATTTTTATTTCAATGTCATTAACATCAGTGACAGTAGACATATTTTACAAGCAACTATATTGGCAGTCTATATTGAAAATTGTTTTGTATTCACATAGAAATACATAGAAAAGATTAGGTAGTTGGTTACTGGGCATAAGCATGTAGTTGCACACTCAAGTAACTAGCAAAATATAAGTAACCATTTCAGTAAATGCCAATGCCTGAGGAGGTAGCACAGTCCTCTGAGGTTCTAGGGAAAGTGTTCTCAGGTTGAGATGGAACCAACCCTAAGAGCCTTAACAGTCGTGAGCTTTGGGCTTTGGTCCCCCAGAAATATTGCAGTTCTTAGAGGAATAGAGAAGCAGTATTTGTTTCATTGTAATTATTTAAAATTAGACCAATAGTGTTTGAATTGTAAAGCAGAATGGGAAGTTGGATAATTAGTGTTTGAATTTATCCACATTCTTTGTAGTATAATACTGAAATCTAGCATTTTAAAATTTATATTTGGAATAATTTCTGATCATTGGAGCAAGAGATTGGAATTCTTGAAAGAAATGCATTTACTTGCCTCCAGCAAGGTAAAATTGAGATTCCTCTTCCCACATGATTCCTGCCTTGCCCAGAATTTTTAAAAATTTATCTACGTTTGGCACCAGTCAAAAACTATTCATGAGTTTTCTCTGTGCATCTGCCTTTTCCTTAAAAAAAATTAAAAAATACTGGGGCCCATATAGCACTAAGGGCGTTTGGGTGCTTAAAAGTATAATAGCAATTAGGGGGGAAGATTAAACAAACCCAGAGCCCAGTGATTGGCCAGAATAGAACAGCACTGTGAAATGCATGTGCTTGTTATCACTTGCCAACAGCCAGCTGGGGTAGCTAGCCCACATGACATGTAACTTTGGTTTCTTCTTTTCCCACATGGAAACTAGAAGCCAAAGCGGAAAATTAAAACCTGAGGTTACTTACCCTTCCCCCCCAAAAAAGACATTTTGCAAACAAAGTGGATAACTGGATAACTGGTAGCTGGAAGATTACTTACTGGCTTCCCTCCCCCACTCTCCCTTTTAAAGTACTAGTTACTTACCATTTTTATAAATTTTGGCCCTATACACCAAAGATGTATCAGGATTTTCTGTTGAACTTGTGTTCTGCTGATTCACTATCAGGACTGTGTTCTGCTTTTCTGATCATTTTTCTCAGTGGCAGAAACGTCCCTTCTGTGTTTGTCATCCATAAAGATGTACTAGCATCCGAGAGTCTAGAGGACAATTCGGTTCTCATGTCAGCATTGGTAGCTGATCTGTAGGTGAGTGGGCGAGATGAACACAGATGCGGCCCAGCTACACTCAGGATGGCAAAAATCAATGGGAATCTGAACAATAGATATAGTGCACCAGAAGAATACATGGATCAATGAATCCACATACATGTGTTAAAGACCTGCTTTGTGCAT